GGTCCATGTATAAGGTATGGTTATTGTGGTGTTCTGGTGAATCGGTTCATGTATAGGACATGGTTATTGTGGTGATCTGGTGAATCGGTTCATGTATAGGATATGGTTATTGTGGTGATCTGGTGAATCGGTTCATGTATAGGGTATGGTTATTGTGGTGATCTGGTGAATCGGTTCACGTCTAAGATATGGTTATTGTGGTGTTCTGGTGAATCGGTTCATGTATAGGATATGGTTATTGTGGTGATCTGGTGAATCGGTCCATGTATAGGATATGGTTATTGTGGTGATCTGGTGAATCGGTTCATGTATAGGGTATGGTTATTGAGGTGTTCTGGTGAATCGGTTCACGTCTAAGATATGGTTATTGTGGTGATCTGGTGAATCGGTTCATGTATAGGGTATGGTTATTGAGGTGTTCTGGTGAATTGGTTCAAGTCTAAGATATGGTTATTGTGGTGATCTGGTGAATCGGTTCATGTATAGGGTATGGTTATTGAGGTGTTCTGGTGAATTGGTTCAAGTCTAAGATATGGTTATTGTGGTGATCTGGTGAATCGGTTCACGTCTAAGATATGGTTATTGTGGTGATCTGGTGAATCGGTTCATGTATAGGGTATGGTTATTGTGGTGATCTGGTGAATCGGTTCACGTCTAAGATATGGTTATTGTGGTGTTCTGGTGAATCGGTTCATGTATAGGATATGGTTATTGTGGTGATCTGGTGAATCGGTCCATGTATAGGATATGGTTATTGTGGTGATCTGGTGAATCGGTCCATGTATAGGATATGGTTATTGTGGTGATCTGGTGAATCGGTTCATGTATAGGGTATGGTTATTGAGGTGTTCTGGTGAATTGGTTCAAGTCTAAGATATGGTTATTGTGGTGATCTGGTGAATCGGTTCATGTATAGGGTATGGTTATTGAGGTGTTCTGGTGAATTGGTTCAAGTCTAAGATATGGTTATTGTGGTGATCTGGTGAATCGGTTCACGTCTAAGATATGGTTATTGTGGTGATCTGGTGAATCGGTTCATGTATAGGGTATGGTTATTGTGGTGATCTGGTGAATCGGTTCACGTCTAAGATATGGTTATTGTGGTGTTCTAGTGAATCGGTTAATGTCTGGGATATAATTATTGTGGTATGTTAGTGAATCATGTATTGATACACACCATTACCGTAGACAGTGCTCTCCACCATGGCAGTAAGTTCTGTTTCATACACAGTTTCCATGTCTTGTTGTGGTGCTCTGTAACTACTCATTCCTGTGACTCTATTGATGAAAATGTTTCTCCCAAGAGAGGCTTCATAGCACAGCAACCAATCAGAAGACTCTGAGCTCTCACTGGGAACTCTGGGTATAACGTCGGGATCTAAGTGAGCTTTATTCGGGGTGCAAATCCTCTGCTCCCCACAGCTTGACAGTGGACAATCATTATTGATTGTTTCTTCTCTCTGCCCTGTAATGTGCGATGTGATTAGACCAACAGAGGACAACTCTATGGTTTCTTCTCTCTGCCCAGTAATGTGCGGTGTGATTAGACCAACAGAGGACAGCTCTATGGTTTCTTCTCTCTGTCCAGTAATGTGTGGTGTGATAATACCAACAGAGGACAGCTCTACGGTTTCTTCTCTCTGCCTAGTAATTGGCGGTGTGATTAGACCAACAGAGGACAGCTCTATGGTTTCTTCTCTCTGCCCAGTAATAGGCGGTGTAATAAGACCAATAGAGGACAGCTCTATGGTTTCTCCTCTCTGCCCAGTAATGTGTGGTGATGTAATAAGATCTACAGCAGATAACTCCATGGATGGTATATGCTCGGGTGGGAATTCTTTTGTTTTGGGTGTCTCGTTAGAGAGACCGACCTTCATGCTCTGTTTCTGTCTAGACAGTTTAGCAGTAAGTGAGCTACGAACTATCTGCTGACCTGAATCATTCCTTTTTAAATGAGCATAGTCTGAGTATGTCAGAGGACTGATGCCTGATAATAAGTGCCCAGAGTCCTTTGTGTTTTCCAGAATAGGAACAGGAGGTTTTTGCAATAAGCTGGACAGTTCCTGTGTTTCAGTCATTTTATTATTGGTACAAAGATTGGATTTGTCTTCATTCTGGTCACTTCCAGCTTGGAACAAAAGTCCATTATTTCCTACAGACGGACTCACAACAGATTGCTGCATTTTTCCAAACTGTCTCCTAAATTTTTCCAAGGAACCTACAAGCGAAGCCATTCCCACCACTGCGGAAACCTTTCTTTTGGACGGTACTGTGGGATTCTTGGGAGCGCTGTACAGTTCACCCCACTGCCTATTTAGAGTAGCCCAGTTAATGTCTGCTTTATGTTCACTCCCAAATACTTTATAGTCTTCTTCCAATCCAGATCTGGGGAACATGCTATACAGTGGGCTTTCATCCTTTTCACTTGACAGGCCGAGAATACCACGAGGGTGCTTGGAGCAGCTGGCTGTTATACTATTGCCTAATTCCATAGAAAAGTCGTCTTTAAAAGCAGAGTCAGTGACATCCCCATTATCCTGATTATTGCTGCATTTCGATGAAGTTCTGGAGTCATACTCTTTACTCTTAGTAAAGCGGTTGGAAATTGCATCTACACCAGATTCTTTGGTCGGATGCTTCAGGACAAAGGCTTCTGCTTCCCAGTTGTCACTTGCAAGCTCCTCCTGGCTGTATGCCTGGGGGGCCTTTTCACTGCATTCAATGATGGCATGATTTCCAGGGTGCATAATCTCATTAGAGGTTTTACATTCGCAATGCGCAATGGGAGGAGTTTGTACCAAGCAATCCAGTATTGCTACTCCAGCTGTCTGGATTTCTCTTGTATCATTATAAGATGTTGTAAGTGCTTTGCTGTTATTACGGAACACTGATTTAGATTTCACATTGCAGATCTCATAATTATCTAAAGCCTTCTCAAATGCATTCTGATAAATATCTTTGTCTTGATTTTCTTGAGGATTAAACTCATTTAATGGCAGACTTAAATTATTGCTTTCTTCTCTTAGTGGCTCCAGGAACAAATCCGTTGTCTTGAGAAATGTCCTCACTCCTTCCTCAATGCAGTGAAACAGCAAGTCACCGTTTTGGAATTCAATCAGTGTCTTTGCTGGCTCAAAACAAACATCATACTCCTGGCA